TACCTCTCCGCGCACTCTTTTATCATACTTCTAAAAGACAGTTCACGAATGCAGGACGTGTGCGTGCGTACCCTTAAAATCAAATTTCACTCTAACCAAGAAAAAAAACTAAATATATTTCTTTGAATTGTACCGAAGAATTATTATGTCAATTCAAAGCATAATTATTTGACGCAAATAAATTGTCATAATTCCGAAGAAACGTTGCATCCGATATATTCAAATTTATTTGAGTCAAATTATTATTCTTTGAATTAACAAGATATCTCTTTGGTTCAATTTTTTTTTTCTTTTTTTTCTCAGTGTAACCTGCCAAGATGGCCGCCGTAGTCCCTCCCCTTTTACGTTTCGAGTTTCAGTTTCCTCGTCTGAATTTTTACTTTCTGCTCCATCTCTTCGTATACCCGTGCTTTCGATCATCCTCGATCATCCTCGATCATTCTCGATCCTCCCTCACGACGTAGCGCCGATAGACGGACAGAAGGACGGATCGTCCAACCGCAAGCAGTCTTACTTTTAACCCGTCCTGTACGTCGAATCACATTTAGAGACCTTTTGTACGATCCGCCTCGAGGTGTATAACGTCTACGGGAACGTTTAATTTTAGAGGAGCCACACTTTTCTTTTTATACTCCCATGTGTAAATGTCTGCTCCATGGTAGTCTTTTGTTGAGATATCATGTAAATTTAGTTCTTATACATATATACATACAAGGAGGTATATATATTATATATNCGTACATCGTATATACATGATGTAGCCAGATTGTAAAATCCAACGTTTTATAAAACCTCTAGTCGTTTTACAGAACGCGGCCAGATGGTCAAATTCTTGTTCGCTTGACTTTTATTTTTTTGCAATCCGGCTAGACATTTTATGAAACCACTAGGGGTCTTATAAAAAGACCAAGAAAACACCGTCGTGTAGAGAAACTCCTTAAGTTAACGCCTGTTTTACGTTTCGGCTAAATCATTTCACTCGTTCCAGAAAAAGCGTCTTTTTCCGTAACCTAACCTAACCTAACCCACATGGAATAATATTTTTATCTACGTATTTATTTTTACTACGTATGTTCCGTAGATTCCGCGAATAAAATAAAAACGGTGTTCTAACGACTTTATCGTTTTTATTAACATTTAAAAGATTAAAGCGTTATTTATAAAATTACTGAAATGCTTTAACCGGAATGTGAAACAGGCGGCGATTTAATGAATTTGATAACAATGCGCTGGTGTCTTTAGTTGTTTTATAAAACGCTTGGTTGTTTTGTAAGATGACTAACTGGATTGTAAAACTAAAAGAGGTGAACGAAGATTTGACCGCCTGATTAAGTTTTATTCAGTGATTAGAGTTTTTACTACACGCCGGATTTTACAATCTGGATGCGATATACCTACACATTTTCGCGAGAAACTCGGATTAGGGTCGACTCAAGTTGCATTCGAGTACAACTAAATCGTATGGTTAAACGTACATTCAGCGACGTACTTACAAAGGAACGGTGACGACCAATATATCGGGGGAGGAAACATTGTACAGAGATCCGTACGTCTCTACGGTGGAGAAGAAGAGGGGGAGAGAGATAGAGAGTGAGAGACTTCCAGCCAGTCACGGAAATGCTTTCCGCTCGCCTTTTGAGGCGAGATAAGCGCAGAAAACGATAGACCGCAAAAAACGAGCTCACGTACTGATAAAAAAAAAGCGTTAGTTGACTCGAAGAAACATACATTGCGGCAACAAAATCCTGCGATTAAATACGTCCGAAGAAATGACACATTGAGTGAAGAAAATTATTTCAATTCAACAATTAGTTTCAATCGACATTATCAATATTTCATCTCAAAGGAATTATTCATTCTTTGCTATTATATGTATATGATTCTGGGAACTATATACATGTCAACAATGTATATTTGTTTCAGTCAACTAACCTTTTTTTCTCTGTGCGTATACAAGTAGGATGTCACCTATGTCGGAAATGCAGAGTTGCGGAGGAACGCGAACGGGAGAGATGCGCGTTTCCTCGAAATTCCGATTTCGCTCTAGCCTAGCTTCTTCAAGCCACTTCTCTCCATGCTTCCCAGAATTTTCCCGGCATTTATCGCTCTCGGGTTATCGCGGTCCCCGCGAGAATTCGTTCTTCTTCCTCGCCGCGATCGTCGGCCCGCGTAGAAGTCATCCCGTACGACACGTACACTGGGAGACATCAATGCCCTCCCATCCTGCACAGGCGATGCCGTATCTGCAGGGGAGGCATTCATGCCCGCCAATGTACACTGGGAGACATCAATGCCCTCCCATCCTGCACAGGCGATGCCGTATCTGCAGGGGAGGCATTCATGTCCGCCATTGTACCGGCACCGATCCGTTATTATACACGTATCCATCCTCGGATACACGTTTCAATGACTCTGTTCACAATTTATACCGGTCGAACAGCGGTGGACGGAGTCATTGAAACGCATACTGGAATGTGTGGAACCCTTATTCTGTGGTTTATACGAATTTCTTCGCACGCGAATTGATTCAAAGGAAAAATCTCTCATTGTTGAGAAATCGCGTCATTGGTCAACGTTAGAAAATCGTGTATGAAACTCAATTTCGCATCGTTGCGAACTCGCGTCATTAGTCGTCGCTTTAAAAGTCGTATATGAGAATTCAATTTCGCATTGTTGCGAACTCCCATAATTGATCAACGTTGGAAAATCGTGTATGAAACTCAATTTCGTATTGTTGCGAACTAGCGTCATTAGTCAACGTTTTAAAAGTCGTACCACGAAACAATCAATTTCAAATTGTTGATAAATCGCGTCATTTAGTCAACATTTGAAAGTCTTACACGAAATTTTATTTCGCATTGTTGCGAACTCGCTTCATTGGCCACTATTCTAATGTCGCGTACGAAACTGTCAATTTCGCATGCAAAAATCGATTGTATGAACTCGAAAAATCGCGTGCCTAAAATAATGGGGACCCTATTCTCGAGTTCATACAAATTTTTCCGCGTACGAATAAATTCACATGAAAAATCTCGCATTCTTGCAAGGTCGCGCCACATTGGTCAATCAACGTTCGAAAATCATACACGAAACTGACAATTTCGCGTGCGAGCGGAACGTATGAACTTGGGGCCATTGTTAAAATGTTTCATCCAACTGGCACCACCATAAATCGGACAGCCTGAATCAACCTTATATCGAATCGAATCGAAACCCTTTCAACGACCTGAATAGGTCCAGTCTCCGCCACATTCGCCATGGTTGCCGCGCTCGCTCTCGTATCGCTCGCGCCTATATATATATAAGCGCGTGTATATAAGGATGTTTATATGTATATATTTATATACATATACATCCACGACTATACACACGCGCGCATATACATATATATACATAAATACATCTACACATACGGATAAATCTATATATTTACAATTTCTACTCCGATCGCGAGCTTTCGCCGACTTCCGCGTCTATTTCTCGGCGCGTCTAAAGAGATCGCCGGTCACGGGGAGGGGACAAGGAGAGAGAAAGAGAAGGGCAGGAGAGCACTCGCGCGATGTGTACATAGTAAATACTAATATATCGTGAATGAATTAATTAAATTAGTAACGTTAAGTTCTCGCAAGAGAGGAGAGGAAGCGTCGTGGAGGAGGGAGAGGGACTTTTTCCAAGCGTGTTCAAGCGGACGGCGCGCGTGCACATGCGCATGGGATTTTGACGCTCTTTCGCGCACTTGTAAGCGCGTCCGCGCACTCGTTTCCGCGCATCTCATGCCGTCGGGTCCGGACCGTCGTTTTAGGGTTGGCTCGCCTGGTGGTCCAGCTCACTATATTATATACGCTAAGAATAAGCTGGAACCCTCGTTGTTTTTGCTCTCTCTCTCTCTTTCTAACTCTCTCCCCCTCTGTCTCCATCTCTCCACCTATTTCGCTCTTTCTCTCTCTCTTTCTCCCCCACGCCCTCCGAAGGTCGCGGACCGGCTGTAGGGATCGTCCGGAAGTGATGGTCGGGGAAAATACGTACTGGCGGCGAGCGCGAACGCCCGATGCGCACCGCTCCGCGGTCGGCGAGCGAATACGCGGGGTGCCGAGCGTGCGCGGATCTTTAAAGGCTCGCTCGCGGGCGGCTGCGCGCACATCCACCTCCCCAGGTTTAAGTTGGACCCGCATTGTACCACTTATATATGTGACCTCTACTTTTACTTTAGTTAATCCTATTATCATACTATATCATTATATATATTATTGCGCTGTACGAAGGAGAATATTACACAGTTTGATGGTTCTTTGTAGTCGACGTTTTGTACAATCGTGACTTCCGGTCGCCGTTATCTCGCCACTACCCCCTCAACCCCAACCCCAACCCAAACCCCAACCCCCAAACCCCTGGTCAAAATCGCGACTTATGACCCATATTATTACACCCTCGGCAATGACCGTTATCGTTATCCTTATTATTGCGATTAGCCTCGTCGCTACGTCTCTGCGAGTCGTTTGAGTAGATAGGGAGAGAGAGAGAAAGGCGCACGCACTCGCCGATGAGAAAGAGGGAGAGAGAGATAGAGAAAGAGTGAGTGAGAGAGAGCGAGAGGGGAGAAAGATTGTTCTACGCATTAAGATTTTTTTAATATAAATGGAAAATTGCCACCATGAAAGTCCGGAAGAGAGAAAGAAAACAAAATATGGAAATAAAAGAAATAAATCAGAGGAACGATCGAAGCATACGATTGAGATATTTAAATGAAAACATTGTTGTACACAGTGATACAATTATAATATAAGTATATGAATAAAATCTATTAGAAAAGATACACCGATGGTTGGGTTGTGTACGTGTGTTGTTCCCCTGGACCCAGGGGCGAGTTTCTATCTCATGGCTGGTATATCCTCGTCTGCACCTGCACTCCACTAGCTCCCCCATGTTACGCGCACGCTGGAGGCCCCTCGCCTCCGCGAAATGCCCGTCGCGATGGACCCACTTCACCCTTGAATTTACAGGAAATACGACCAATCGGCCTCCTAGAAAGAAAACCAAGAAGACGGCCCCTGGTGCCGCCGCCGGTGCGACCAACTCCGTCACTCCGGTAAGAACGATCCGGGTTACGACATCCCCCAGGGGACTCCAACGCGCGGAGTCGCCGCGGCTTGCACGCTATAAACCATTGTCTGAAACCTTAGGCCGCTCCCGCGCTTAACCATGCCTCCGGAGGAGGACTGCTCGCAAACGGTCAGCCAAATCCGGCAAATCCTGCGGCTGCGGTCAAATCAGCTACCACTGCTCAACCTGGGAACGGACCAACCGATCCAGGTAAGACGACCCTCAAGTACTTATCCGATATGTACACTGGGAGACATCAATGTCATCCAATCTTGCACAGGCGATGCCGTATCTGCAGGGGAGGCATTCATGTCCGCCATTGTACATCGGGAAAAAAAAATGTCGAACCTATAAAATATTTCTTTGAATAGTACCAAAGAAATATTTTGTTAATTAAAGAATAATTATTTCACCCAAACGAGGGGGTATTCACTTATTAAATCATGGATTTTAGTGCTCGAAATCACGGGGAAATCGACTATAAATCGCAAACAGAGATAATAAAATAAACAATGCCACAATTTTAAGGCCGACTGTCACTTGTTACCGAAGCCCACTGTTGTTTGTCACATGAAATTAAAGGCAATCGATTCTCAACCAAAGAAATCGTTTTCACTGATTTTAGAGTGAACAGCCCCTCGGACTCAAGCTCAAATAAATTTTACCTGGTGAATGCGGAGGCACTGAGGTACTGACACCCACGCTATTTAAATTTTGTTAAGGAATTTGAAAAATGGCTATAAACAAATATGGGTATAAATGATGTTTCCTGGGTGTCGGGACCTTCCCTAGAGCTTCCACATTCACGTTGTAAAAATTCAAACGATTCCATGCACCCAATTCTGAGAAAACTCATATGCTGTCGTGTACGATTGCGTTCTCAACTGGCACTTTCTAACCGCCTTAATTCGCGACGCGTTCAGACACACCGGGAGTCAAGGAGGATCGTTAGCTTGGATTACTAACTAAGTGGCGTTTTCTGAATGGACAGGTGGAAACGGCAACCCGCAGGCGGTCGCCGTGGCAGCGGTTACGGGAAACCAGCAAGGAGTACCAGTCGCGAGTCACGCATCGATGCCGGCGCAGCCGTCGAGGCCCAGCGCCATGGCGACGGCCGCGCCGCCGAAAAAGCCGACGCCACCGCCGCCACCGCCGCAATCGCAACCCCCATCAGTGCAGAGCGCGGGGGTAGGGACGGTGGCGCCCTCGGCGGCAGCGGCAACAACGACACCGGTGCAAGTGTCAACCGCGACGGTGACGGCTGTACCAACGGTGCAGACGGCGACCTCGAATCCGCCGACGCCCTCCGTCTCGGTACCGACGCCACCCCCTAGCGTCACTCCCACCAACACCAGCTCCATGGTCTCCTCGCCCGTCGTACCTCAAGCCTCTCAGCCACCAACCCCCGTTGGATCCTTTCCGAACGCAAACCCTACCTCGGGGCCAGCGGACGGAACGGTCATGAATCAGCAGGCTGAGCTGCTGCAGCCCTACAATACTCTAGGTACATTGAGACAAAAATTTCATCGAACTTGATATAGCTTGTGAAGGTGATATAGCTGTTCCATAGATGAAGTAAGGCGTTACGGGATGGGATGCTAAGTTTGATCAGTGGGATGAATTTGTAATTGATTTTTTCATTCGGTTTAGCAACCGTGCCGACAACCCAGACGGTTCTGGAGCAGACTTTGTCGAATCTGAAGAAGGAGCCACACATACCCATGATACAGACAGCCCACGGGACGGCGAACAACTCGAACCTGAATCTGCTGTCGGAGTTGAAGAACCCCGTCAACATGATGGCCGCTGGCATGCCGTCGAACCTCAACCTAAGCAACTTGAACATGGCGAACATTAACATGAACCTTCAGCAGGGCCTCGCCCAACATATTCACACCGCCATGCACAACCCCCTGGAGAACATGATCAGCACCACGTCGCCGTTGTCTAACATTCAAAACACCCATAACGTCACTATGTCTCAGCAGCACTCGAACGGGTTCACCGCCATCAAGAGAGAAAACTCGCCCACGAACATGCTCAACAACAACGGAGTGCCTGCCCTCAACATGGGCATGAACATGAGCGGGATGGGGATGGGCTCCATCTTCGATCCTCTGCCCATGGTCTCCATGCCCATGCAGATCCCGCAGTTGCCTCTTAAGAAGGAGGAGAAACCCATGGTGATGGCGCAAGCTCAGATGCCCCAGAAGACCCTCGATGGTACGCTAAGGCCTTCAGCATGCATGTTATCGCCTTAAAGCTTTTACGCTTTCTCGTTGCTTTAGAAATCAAACGGTATTAAATGCTACTTACCACCGGTATCTAGAAAATGTTCACCTGATTCCATACTGATGACTGCCATAGGGATATCTAAACTTCCTTGGTACTTTAAGGCGATGCGAAAGTGGCATCGGAGATCTCATTTATGAGACTTGTCTCCGAACTGAATGTAAAAAATCAGTCCAAACTTTACAACGTGAATATGGAGGCTTTAAGATAAAATAAAATTTCATTTTTATTTAAAAAAAATAAATAAAAATGGGTATCATAAACAATTTTTTAAAAAATTGACATTTCATGGGTGTTAGAACCTTCCTTACAACCTTCATATTCACGGTGTAAAGTTTAAAACGATTCGGTACACTCAATTCGGAGAAAGTTTCATGAAGGATTGACTCCTAAGATGCCACTTTCACATCCCCTTAAGGTGAAGTGAAACACGTCGAGGAACTTGATCGACGTCGGTAAAACTGGTTTTTCAAAATACCTCCGTTGCCGACGTTCGTTTTTATATTGACAGCCGTGTCGAATTATGTTGAGTATTGTACTAAACGACCTACTCCATCTGTCGTTTTCGTGCAATAATTATAAAGAAATCGAAGTAAAATTCCATAAATCCACTGGATTTATGGTTTCTGAGGCCCAAATTGACTGCAGAGGGACCCCCTGCGCCATCTGTGATTTCCGCGTCACCTAAATTTTTTTCTCCGAGATCTCGTATTACCGTTGTTTTAGCATAGAAGCGCATAAGACACTTTTTCTGCTTTTAGCCCGTTTAAATGCGAGTTTCTTAATTACCAGTTACGAAATACGAGTTTCTCGATTACCAGTTACGAAATACGAGTTTCTCGATTACCATTCTAAATTGTCGTACAATTATCCCGACTTTCGTTTCTCATATTAGAGCCTTCAATAACTGGATATCAATCGAAATATGAGAGCTCGACGCCATTTTGGTTCTGGTCTGGGCGAAGTTGAACAATTTTTTAAAAAATCCAAATTTTGAAAGTGTCAGGATAATTCCTAGGTGCTCACGGGTCATGTGTCAAAGTTTCGGACAGTTCTATGCAATATCCTTTAAAACACGTGTTGTATTCGAATCGACTGATTTGAGAGAGGTTTCACTTCACCTTAAAAGATATTGGACTTCACGATTTCGCTTTGCTTTCTCGTCTTTTCAATCCCCTACCGTTGCTTGATATACCTCCATATTTCTATAACAAAATGAATGCTGCTCATAGTCAATGTTTTGGTGTAACGGGTATTGTGGTCAAATAGCTTGACATCAGGGGATTGTTTAATGTCAGGGTACTCTATCTTTGAATATTGTAATCCGTGTTCACGCCGCACTAACCTGCTTACTAATCGATCCTGCGATTTCGGTGCTCTAGCGGGAGCTCTTTTTGCAGAAATGAGTGCACTAGGGATGCCTCAGATGAGCAACCACTCCGGGACCCAGCTTATGGTTGAGAAGAAGATGACGCCTCCTGATTCCAAGAACCCTGCAGCTAATTTCGCCTCGGCCTTTAAGAACAAGGTACGCAGTGGTCCCAAACTCGCTGTGATCGCAGACAAAAGTAGTGAAACTCGTTTAATTAATAAGTGCCCTCCCATCACTCAGGGTTCGGTAATTTCACGTTTTTCGAGGTTTTTCACGTATATTATATTAAAGTAGTTTACCATAGAAAATCGTAGAGAATCATAGAGAATCCATAAATCACGTTTTCAATATGGCGGATGCCGTAGATGCGTCATACGTGTACCTGCCGAATTATAAACGTTTTTTTAGCGTACGTGTAAACACGTAAACATTTTTAAGGAATTATTAACTTGGCGCTTGTGTTTTACAATTCTTTCTATTTAACCTGGTTTAATATCAAATTTCTGACTGGAATTATTATTTTTCATTTAGAAATAGAAAGGTGTAATATACTTCGCGCTTGCGTAGACAATTAGGAACGTATTATACGTTATAATATACGCGTAGAAAATCGCGTATATTACATAACGTATTATACCTACCCAACTCTACCATCAGTTCTCATTACACGGCTGATTTTTCGTACACAGCTTTTCTTTTTGGTGGAGAAATTTTGTTGCTTGTGTGCAAGAGAGTTGAATGTCCAAAACGAACGGTATTTTAGCTGTTGATTGTCATATGGCACATAAATTACGACATGCAGACTTTTGGTGCCCCAGTTCAATTATTGAATTCAATGAAAAAAAACTGCAATTATTGAAAACAGTCAGTGAAACGATGCTCTTCAGCGTTATTTAACTTGAGATGTAATGTTGGAACGCTAACGCGGTCAGTGCGACGTCTCGTTTATTCTTGACGTGTCTTTGTAGACGGTGGAACAGAACGTGAAGAACGCTTCTTCGTGGTCGTCTCTGGCCCAAGCTTCGAGTCCACAATCTGCGGCAGGAAGCAGTATGAAAAGTGCGGCTCGAGACTCGTTCCAGGCCTTCAAGAAACAGGCCAAAGAGAAGCAGGACAGGGTTAGTTCGGATGTGAAATTTAACGATATTGAACGGCCACAACGTTGGCTACAACTCCATCGTACTCCTAACTCCGGGATTTATTAAGTCCTGTCCCAATATATCGCATGTCTCCATTGCATTAATAAATACGTGTACTAAAGGCGTGGATTTATACGCTCGTACAACTTATTTATACGACGACGGAACGTACGCTCAAAAAGTGCATATCGTTCCGTCTTAGTACACCATTGTTTACACTGTCAGTTTGATAAAACTACGCCTTTAGTACGCGTATCAAGTGTAAACTAAGCTTATAATTCGGATTTACTGTATCATTAACACATTCGCGACCGCTGACGTGAATTCTCGTAATTTTAAATTCTATTCCTAATTACCACTGACGTGAATCACGTCCATAACGATACACGATACAAGTTTATGGCAACCAGTTTCAAAATTTCATTGTTTTCGCCAATACTCAGTATTTGAAATGGAAAAAATTTGCCGGTCGCGAATGCGTTAATAGGTTGTAAAACGTTTAGAATTTATCAAAGAGCATTGTCAAGTATCATTAATAACTCGCAAAATGCTTGAAATTTAGCGAAGAGCGCTGTCGAGTATCAATAATAACTTGTAAAATGTTTGTAATTTAGCAAAGAGCGTTGCTGGAACAGCAGGAGCTGCGGAGGCAGCAGAAGGAGCAGGCAGAGCGAGAGAGGTTGCGCCAGGAAACGGAGAGAAGAAGGGAGAGAGAAGAGGAAGACGCGCTGGAAAAGGTGCGGAAAACGGTGGCCGAGCAGCAGGGAACTACAATGTCCGCTCCGGTCAGAGCTGAAGAGGTCAAACCAGCACCGGACACGGACAGTGGAAGTCCAAGTCAGACTTCGGGACAGGACAAGGCCGCCGCCGAGAGAGAGCGACAGAGGCTACGGGAACAGGAGCGTCGTCGTCGAGAAGCGGTAAGTGCCGACTTCGGCTTCGCTATCGACTTCGTTAAGGCGACATGAGAGTGGCATCTGGAAACTTAACGACCCTCGCAACACTTTTTTTCGACCTGGAAGTACCGAATCGTGTGAACATTTACCACATGGCAGTGGAGTCCCTAGGGAAAGTCCCGATACCCATTAAATCTCATTTTCATACAAAATGAAATGTTTATAAACATGTTTAAAGGAAAATGAAATTGCATGGGTGTCAGGACCTACTCCAGGGCCTCCACATACACGTGGTGAAATTTTAAACGATTTGGGGTAGTCAGTTTTGAGAAAAGTGTTACAAGTGGCACGAAGATGTTCTCACGCGACTTTCGTGTCACCTTAAGGTAATATCAAATCTGCCGAGGGATTTACGGAGATCCGATATTCGATTTAATCTCGCGTTCATTCATGGTCTTCTATCGTCGTCGAGTCGCTTTTTGATATCGCAGGTGAATTTTTTTTGTATCAGAGATTTTTTCTATGTAAGGATTACAAAGTGTACAGAGTTTCTTGATTAAGTCTCGAACATTGTAAATCCCCGGACAGGTTTCAGGAGATGATCCAGGAAAATATACAATTTTAGTAGCTTTAAACGCCTCCGTTGCTAAAATGGCAGCTTGAAGGTACTAAGAAACAGGTTGATTTTTTTTTAAGCGGGAAAAGAACGGGTGCGGAAGTCGAGCGATGACTCCCAGAAAGACCCATGCTTTGTGTTTTTGTATTTTCAGCTGGCTAACCAGATTGACATGAACATGCAAAGCGATTTGATGGCTGCGTTTGAGGAGTCGTTATAATGTTACTATTTGCTGCTCATTATATTCCCACTGAAACCGGGCGGGACTTGGATGAATAATGGCGCTGGACAATGCCGCAGAATCGTGTTGTAACATAGTACGCAATGTCGTCGAGGGTAATCGTACAACTAGAGGTAAAAAAAAGTCGTACCCTCTATCGTGTACAATCGGTGCAAAGACAACGGTGCAGTTGGGACATTCCGACGGAATCGATCAATGGCGGATCTAAGAGGCAGAGGGTGAAGAATTTGAGATAAAATTAGAGAGAGAGAGACAAACGGGATCTAGATCGCTCGACCGTCGAAATCGGGCAGCAAAGACTCATTTACGAAGTTACATCGTAAAGGACGGACACCTGAGTGTGACCATGTAATTAGATAAATATTTACGAGAAATACTACTACAAAGTTACTGGACGTTGCGTTCAACTTTTTCCGGTTTTCATAAGTTTGTACTTTATGTAAATTTGAAAACACACAAAAATATCGCAAATGATAAAAGTGAGATAGGGAAGCGAATGTTCATTACGGAGAGAGAGAGTCGCCAAGGACAGGGAAGAGATGCAACGAAAGGACGAGGATAGAGCCGCAAGATGGAGGAAGAGAGCGAGAGAGACCGCGCGATAGACCTCGCCGACAGCTAGAGAGCGAAAGAAAGAGTGCGCGCGCATGAACGAGAGAATGAAAGAGTGACGCGAGAAAATGGGGACGAGTGAGAGAAAGAGAGAATCTGCGTGCATGCGTCGATTGAGAAGAGTCGTGTACATTTAGTTAAGTTTTATATTTTTCCACATTCAGTCATTAATCGTTGGTAGGATTACGTAGATACATTGTTCTGCCAATAATACCTACGATTCACTTAGCTCTATTCTCAAACTAATGATTTCAGTACAGATTTCTTTCGTAAATTACGACTATTAATATAACTACGTGTAATAACGAGACATAGGTAGACGCGTTAAGTCAATAACATTTAAACGACAAAGAATATACCTAAAAGCGAGTATACAAGTTGAAGTTAAATCGGAACTTGGCCACGGGACGCGATCCGTTCGCCGGTTCATCTTAGAACAAAGTCGTCAATTATTACAAGGATAACGATAAGGTATAGTGTCAAGTAGTCTCGATCTCTCGTCCTACCGTTATCGTTCATTGAAGTACCTAAACCATGGTACGATGCGTCAGGTGGAAGACATTGCGAGCGCGTTTTAGGTTGCGGTGCGTTATAGCATGTCAAATCGGTACACTGGGAGACATCAATGCCCTCCCATCCTGCACAGGCGATGTCGTACCTGCAGGGCAGGCATTCATGTCCACAATGTACACTGGGAGACATCAATGCCCTCCCATCCTGCACAGGCAATGCCGTATCTGCAGGGGAGGTATTCATGTCCGCCACTGTACATCAGGCGCCCCGTTTCTTCCTTGGACAGGAGGACCTTATCGACGTCGATCCTTCGATTCGACAGATCGACAGCGGGACGATAAAACGGGAAGGATGAGTGACGTGAATTATCACAAGACGGTCCGGTTTCGGCGCGAGTAGGTTACGCCTTGGCGAGAAAAAGCGAAATTGGCAAAAAAAAAAATAAGTACAAAAATCGTAATAGCGGTAGACGAGACATTTCGACTCGGTTCGTCAGGTACTGCTCGCGCGACTCGAGCTACTGCCGGCGGGATTAATTGAATTAATTGAATTAATTTAATACCAAGTATTTTCGAAATTTCCTAAGAGGTCGCTCTAGCTTACGCGCGTGGTCAGTGCCGAATAAAGCGAGAGGTTATTACGTGGAGTGTATATTATTAAATTATTTAATTGAATCCGATTTTATTTTTTTAAGAGCTTCGTCGAACAGCCGCCGCGTCTTTGCTTCGTCGTGTCTCCCAAGAGAGTAGGGAGGTGTATATAAATATATATATATATATATATTTACATATGTGTATGTATATATATATATATATATTCTCAGCGATCGAGCTTAATCGACGATCATGACTCGCGACAATTACGACGAGGAATTTCCGCGGACTGCGAAAGCACGAGACGATCGCCGCGCGATTATGCGGCGATTACGACGCGTTTTACCCGCGTCTGGGCAGACCTAGTGCATACTACACACACGATGTCCATAGATTGTTACAAGGAACTATTTAGTTATAGAGAATCGATGTTTTTAATATGTTACAAAAAAGAATAAAAGAAATAAAAGACAACACAGGATTGTTGGATTAACAGGTTTCGGAGGTAGCACTAACTTTCCTTTAGGTCTCTCTCCGCGGATCGCGCGGCCTTTGTGGCCGTGGAAAATTTCGCGGAATGCTTTCGGAGGATTGTTCATTCTTAGCGCGGCCATCTTGAAATTTTGAAGCGAAGGCGTAGGTCTCGAATTCTTCGCGGATTGCGGCGCAGGTAAGGCGTCGGTCGGTCTTTTTGCCTGCACTGAAAAAAACTTTGGGAAATAAACGTCGATTCTTTGTATGGTATACAAATATAGAATGAGAGGACACAACTGTAGAAAGAAGGAATTCAATTTGTTAAGCCGTTCTTTTCTTTCTGTGGTTGTATGTCATATCTAGGAACTCGCGCTTGATTTATAATTACCGGTAATGTATACCATTTGTTTTTCTCAGTGTAATGACGAAGATTAAGTTTTGCGCAGTGTAGTCATGTCCAAAGATGATTCGGCGTAGTTGTTACTCGAGAAATACGCTTTTTGTACATTGTCAAACCCACCGCAGGCTTTGGACGGAGAAAGTATACTCTAGGGAAATTTCACCAGGGCTGGGCGTTGGAAAATGGTCGGATGATTTGCGATCAACGTTAGAAAACTCGATAAACCTAGCAAATAAATGCGTAATTGTAAAGTGAAATGTGTCTTTCGGATTTCATCGTCTTTCGGATTGTTTCTGTATATTTCGAAGTGTTGTCTAAAGTTTTAACGAATATTTTGCAATGGTTCTGCCAATTTTTTGGTGGCCAGCCTTTGGTGACTTTTGCGTGGTCGAGGAGATTTGGACTGGGAAAGGGTCCTCTCCGCAAAAAACGAGCACTGATAAAAATCGATAGAAATTTACATATATTTTTACACACAGAAATTTCATCGGACCAGAGAAATGTTTCTTCGAACAGTTCCAAAGAAATATTCGGTCAATTCAAAGAGTAATTTGACTTAAACAAACTTAAACAAATTGGATGCAACATTTCTTTCGAACTAGACAATTTGTGTTCATTCAGTCAAATTCTTTGAATTATCAATATATTTCTTTAACAGAATTCAAAGAAATATTTCTTCAGTTCGATGCTTTTTACTTTTCTCGGTGTGGTTTCACTTAGAAAAGTAAAGTGTAAAAATTACAAATTAAAAAGTATATAATTACACGTAACGAATATTTATTGTAGCAATGCGTTTTTACTTGAATTAAATGTAATGTTACATTACAATTTTTTTTTTACTTAGACGCTGAACAAGATGTTGCAGAGACAATGTAATTTCCCTGCAATTTACCGTGGCGAGATATTAATAAATCGAGGGTGTAAATTTATATGGGCATTTTTATCAGTGCTAGTTTTATCAGCATCGACGAGAGCTCTTAATGAGTTATAATTCGCCTAAATCCTAACCCGATTTGTCGCGTTATCCTTCCAGTTAAACGTTAACGTTTGTCGCGTCGCTTTTGCCGCGTTCGATCGATTCTACCGAGTACCAGAAATAATTAAATGATAATTACTTGGGCGTACCGGGAGGATTAGGGGTACGCCTCGCAAGTTAGGGTTAATATCGTATGCGCGCGTGTGTATGGGTCTATAGATATGTAAGCTATCAGATTTGGAGGATTACATATTGTGTATATATTGACGTGTGTCTGTGTATATATAGAACGACTCATCGAGCAGGAAGTACATGCGAAGCGTACATTGTACCCGAAAACGCGAAATCGTTCGCCCTCTAATCTAAGATTAACTTAAACTAAGACACGTTTCTATCTCTTGTCGGACTATCGACGAGATTAGCGATCAATCATTTTGTACATGCGTTCTCGCACCTTCCGTCGTTCGATCCTCGTTTTAAGAGGCGCGGTTTCGAGTCTTGAAAGACCGATTAAAACGTTAACTAGCGAGAACGACGGGGATCTAATTAACCGAGGAGCTCGAAGAGGTACTTGGTGTAATACTCGCGCCATATGAGAATCTGATTATTTGCGGCGATATTCGTTAAATCGGTTGTAAAATCACTTCTCGAGTAGACACGTTCCGGAAATGTTGCTCGTCCCTTGCATTTTCGCTAACATCCGCGACGTCCATGTATAAAGACGTTCCTGGATCGTCGAGCTGGTAACGCCCACGTGGTCGCTTTTGTTGATTCGTTTCCACGGAACTTTCAGGGCATTCGGACAGGCGTTTATTGTCGATATTTCCTGGATGTTTCAATTAAAAAAAAAAAAAAAAACGTCGAAATGTTCCAGTTTATTCGTACGCGTGTACTGTGTATGCAATGGCCGTTGCCAACGCTTGTGTTCGTTGCGCGTTCGTGACGCTCTTCGGTATCTTTGCTCGGAAATAAAAAATATTCAAGGTGTGCGTTGTGTGAGGGTTTACATCGTGCAAATTTTCCCGGGTGTAGTCGAGTTTATATTCTGTAAGTTATCATAGGATTTAGCGTCTTAAGGGCGCGCTGAAGTAGGAAGGTTCCAAAGCGACATCGTCTTCCTGGGTCGGCCATTTTCTTTTTTCGGTTTGCGGCATACTGACATCCTGGAATATCCGGGGATGTCCTCGAGGACGTTGCAGGGATATCGCAAAATTGCTTCCCGTTCGATCTGTCATGCCGGATATCATAGATTTCCTTAAGGCTGTCGTGTATTCTAGGAAATGAAACGTCATTTGAAGCTTCGTCGCGAACGACGGTCTCTTTGCATTTAGACGTGTCTCGAAATAAATTAAATACATTCCGAGGGTGGTTATTAATCTACGCATCCTCACATTGGACATGCAATAACTCGGATTAATTTTATTTTTTATTGCGTAGAAAAATCCGACGGTGCTTTTTCATTGAAACGTTTCAATTAGGTATTGTTGTAGAGGCGGGAAAAATTGTAAATTATTGTTAAGTGGAGGAGCTCCGGATTTCAATGTTAAATGCGAATGTGTTTAATTTATTTCTAAACGAAATTAAGGATGATTACGGAGGATCGATTCGAGGATGACGGAAAATTGGAAAAAGATTTATCTCTCCGTACTTCTCTTCCATTGCTATTCCGAAATATTGGCTTCCAGTAATCGCTAACGTTGCACTTTTTTCTTTCCTTTAACGTGTAATATCACCTGTCACCTCCGTACACCTGTGATCTCGATGTATAATTTCGAACCTTGAATGGATTCTCTGGTGCTTTACGACCTAAAAAATCGCCATTTTGTTTCGTTTCTGCAGGAACAGAGACAGTTAAATTGCAAAGAACCGATCGGTTTCAAAATGGCGGCGTTCATGAATTCTTAAGACAGGAGAAAAAGTACATTTGTCACGATGTTTTCAGAATTCAAAGCCCGTGTTGTGAGCGATCGACTTGAGTTTTGTTTTTCGTGGACTCGTGAAATCGTATCGCTAAATTAGAGATCCTGTAAGAACGTAAAAATGCGTGAATGTGGTCTAGTGAGAACGAGTGTGCTTGGTCAAAGATGGCGGAAGGGAGAGGAAAATGTTGCGAGAGTGCGAGGGGGAGTAATAGGTATTATGACTGTATAATATGTAGTCGATAATTGTACATAGTCGAGGAGGGAATCATTGGCAGCAATTGAGAGATGCAGATTCAAGAATATCTATGTATAAAAGTATGATTAACGACACACCTCTATGTGATAAGGTTTGTAATAATTAAGGAGGCCAATAGACAGATTATGTAACCTACTAGATCTCAACCTAAGTTTAGAGTAATTACCTTAACTCGTTAAGTAACACCAAAATCACTCCGCTGTATCAAAAGTAATTTTTATATAAGTTCCCACGGGCGCACATCATCTCCAATGGCACACGAATGTTAGCAGATTTACTAACTATAGCCGATTAAAACTGGTTGTACATAAATAATAACGAAAAATAATAAATGGCTAAAATAAAATGATGCTTGAGGTTGTTAAGTAAGAGGAGGACTCTTTACTGGATGTGATGCGTTTCCCCTTCGTTCTTTGGATTTACCGGTGACTCGATTTTGACATTCTTATAGTTTCTAAACACTTTTTCTTCACCTTTCGGTCCCTGTAATAATTCAAATTTGTACATGATAAATTAATACCTATAATAACACCGTGTTTCCTTTAAATCGTACCTTTGTCGCCCTAAATTCCCGATTATGGTTTTTTATTTCACGTGGTTGACAAATTTCGCAATGTATTCTATTTTATATCGATTAGCTTAACACCTTTGCAACAATGGAAATTACTCCAATTATTTATACCTGATTTAAGGAATTTATTTGAAGTTGACAATAGTCACACTTAACAAATGACCGTAATTATGTCGTCTTAGTTATTCAGTCATCATCGATAAGGTGTTATCCAATTATACGAAATTAAATGGCAAAGAATTTTCATTTAATCGATTTACCGGTAAATAAACGGTGTGACATATTTTTCATTATATTCGCACTGGTCCCATGGATGTAAAAAAATTCCATCCACAAATTCTTTTACGTTCAGTTCTCAGGAAATATTTATTTCCATCGTTCACCGGTTTGCTACTCGCCTGTGAGAAAATAAATAAACTCGTTCCCTTTTACTTAACAACTTCGATCAGTAGTACGTTGTCGAAACTATCATTAACATTATTAATTAAAAAAAAAGTGTTGATGATGTATCGTTCATTAACCAGGTGGGAGAAGAAAAGAATCGAGGGTGAATATGGAGTTATCGTGAATTTCTTGTGACTATCAAAAAAAAAAAAATTATCTTCTCCCGTTTGCAATTTTGCATGTTACGTACATATGTATGGCTATGTAGAGGGCGAAGAATCGAAGAATCATCTACGTATGAAAACGAACGAACCACTTTTTTTTGAGGAAGAAAACGTTTTCTTTTGTGTTACACAAGTCCACTAGCGAAGTTGTGACAGATCATTGTGCACACTATTAATACAGTTAAGATATCGCTACTATCGTATATTATTAAACTCTTCACAGATATGCTATTGATTACCGTGAGGTTCAATTAATAACTCATTGAAAGTACTCCATCGGTGATTCTTCATTAACACCTCACCCTTATACTGTACCGGCGAAAATTCTATTTATTTCGAGGTAAGTACACCAATTTATTGTCATGAAATCGATGTTTTAAATAACTCATTCGAGATAAAATTGTTTTCATTGATAAGTAGGATGAGTTCACCCAATACTATTTTTAGCCTAGGCAGGATTCTGAATTTTTTTAAATATTACATCAAACTGCAAATGTTTTAAAACAATGGAATTTGATATGGTAGCTTTATAAGAAAATCCTGTACAATTCTATTTTTTCAAGGAGATCAAGGTCGTGACAATAGCGGTTTTATTGTTGTATAAATAGTAGATACAACTTGCAATAAAATCCAGTTAAAATAAATTCGATATCAATTCATTTGTGCCCATTTTTAAATCTATGAAATTCTTTCAATCGGACTGCGTTTGTTCGAATGAAGCCTCCAGCATCCACAGGGGCGAAATCTCCTTGAATGTCCATTGACACGAGCTCTTGATTGTATAATGCATTTTCACTGTAGCGCCCCATAACGGCCACTGCCATGGAATGATAATATCGATTATTTACTATCCGTATCGCAATATAATTTAAGAAAGATCAAAAATGAATTAATATAAGTAATACAAACCGTTTCCCTTGTACGTCTTAACGTGTACCGTGCCGGTAACGAATTTCTGAGAAAACTCTATACAATTTTTCACAAAATCGCACTCAGGTGAGAACCAAAGACCTAGAAAGAATTAAGGTGATATGAAATTCCCCCTCAAATCAGTCGATTCCCTTTCTTTAAGGGCATTGAACCGAACTGTCCGAAACTTTGACATATGACTCGTGATCACCTAAAAATTGTCCTAATACATTCAAAATCTAGATTTTCGAGAAAAAATTGTTTGACTTAGCCTAGACCAGAACCAAAAGGAAGTCGAGCTCTGATATTTCGATCGATAAACAAGTATTGAAGGCTCTGATATGAGAAACGATAGTGTCAGGACAAGTATACAACGATTTAGAACACTTTAGTAATCGAGAAACTCGCATTCGAACGGAATAAAAGCAAAAGAGGGTCTTATGCGCTTCTGTACTAAAACGAAGGTAACCCGAGGTCTCGGAGTGAAAATTTAGTTGACACTAAAATCATAGATGGCGCAGGGTGGCCCTCTGCGGTCAATTAGGGCATCAAAAGCCATGAAACTAGTAGATTTTGGCAGTTTTACTCCGATTTCTTTATAATTATTGCACGGAAACGATATATAGAGTATACCATTTCGTACAATACCCAATATAATTCGACACGACTGTTAATATAAATATGAACGTCGGCAACATATGCATTTCGAAGAATCTTATTTACCGATGTCAATCAAATTTCTGAACGTGTTTCACTTCACCTTAAAAATGTCAAATTTGATTCCAATGAATTTCCTCATATCAATTTCTTACCATTGTATACGTAGTCGGACATTTTACCAGCTAAGTACGATTTAACTCTCAGGACTTCGCGATCAAGGAGATAAACTTCTAAATCCTGATGGGCGTCGTGTAAAATCTTGACACCTGGCGACTCGTACAATCCTCGGGACTAGAATTTAAGATATCAGTATTACATAGTTCCATCAAATTACACGATTGTTAAGCTTGTAAATGGAGAACCTTCAGTCCAATAAATCTATTTTCTACGATGTCTATCCGACCCACTCCATGTTCTCCACCGATTCGATTCAGGTAATTGATAATATCTAGAGGACTATCAAAATCCTTTCCAGTGTCCAAATTTTTCACGAAAACTGGGAGGCCTTCCTTGAACGTGATTGCGATTTTCGCAGATTTATCGGGAGCATCTTTCGGGTCTTTTGTCATTTGATATATCCCCTTGGGCGCGGGATTTTTCGGGTTTTCTAAAATTCCGGATTCATAGCTATAAAGATGTTGATAAGACAAAAATTATCTCGTGAAAAGATGTGATTCCTAATAATAATAATCGAGTCAATTCAGTCAATAGTCCACCTGATGTGCGCCAAATTCGCGTCCATACTCCAAGGATCCTTCGGGGTGGCAGAAACTGGGATTCCATTCCTTTCCGCATATTTTAAAAGATCTGAACGACCTTGGAATATTTCAAAAAATTCCGGCTCCCTCCAGGGTGCCAAAATCTGCTTAAGTTGATGCATAAGTGAAGAAAAGGCATTAAAAGTACGAAAGTAAAATTACACAAAAACTGTTATCACACCTTGACTTCAGGGTAGAGCGTGTAACAAGCGAACTCAAATCGCACTTGGTCATTTCCTTTTCCAGTCGCACCATGGCTTATTATTTTCGCCCCTTCATTTTTCGCAGTTTTGACAAGACCTTCGCTAATACAAGGACGTGCAATAGATGTTCCTAAGAGATATCTGTCTTCATATTTTAATCCACAACGTACAGAAGGCCAAACAAAGGACGTCACAAAAACCTCTCTGAGGTCTTCAACAATGACCTAGAGAAAGCAAGCGTCGTTTTCAAGAGAAAATGATTTAATTGGCAATATTCAACGAGGAAAACGTTGTAAATGTCTAGTTGATTGTAATTTTTTTAAATGGTACCTTTGACGCGCCGATTTTCAGTGCTTTTTCTTTGGCAGCCGCAAAGTCTTCATCTTGTCCCACGTTTGCCTAGAGAATAGAAGATAAAAATTTTCGCAATTTTTTAGCTCAATACTGGATTCTTACCATATAAGCAACAACATTGTAGCCCTTTTCAATGAGCCATAGCAAAATACAAGAAGTGTCCAAACCTCCACTATACGCCAAAATCACTTTTTCTTTCGACACAGACATAATGGAATTTTCTGGTGTACTGGTACATACTGGGGAGGAACTCTTATTTTACTACAGATTTCCATATGAACTCTTCTCGATAACCTTTCTGATTACGTATCATTTGCGAAAGCATATCAAAGATACCAACTTTACTTTTAATTACAATTTAAATAATTGAATATCTACATGTACTAACAGAGATGAGTGTAGATGAGTTGGGAGATTGCTTACGGAAGGGATCGTGCGATCGCATCCTGTGCTGTCCTCTGGTTTCGTACGTTAGCTTTCACCGTTTTCTGCCACCAAGGGCGGCACAACGAATTTCTGATAGGAGCTCGCGCACTCGCGATGGCGGTACCATCTACCAGTCGCCATTGGCGGCTCACGCACTCGTGATCGTAATACCATGCGGCAGTTGACGGTGGTGGCTTACCTTCGCTTACCGATACTGCTCGCTTTTGATGGTAAGGGAACAACACTCGTGAAGCTCCATTTGACTTTATCTACGTATCTACGTATCTATTAATTAAGTACATTGTTGCCTCGAAGTCGACGTGATGCGGAGCTTTGGGGCACGCGTCGGTGTCGCGTACGGAACTCTCTTGCAGCGAATCTGGGTGAGTGCGATAGCTCCTAGAAATCTTCGCGCGACCCAACCAGCCAAGCGTCAAGCTACGGGTCGAGACGCTGAGTATGTGTGCATTAGGAGGCGCTACACTCGACAAGTATGCGAGAGACTCGAAAACTGCGAAAAATCCTCCCGAGGCTTACCTAACAGCGGATACAAGCCGAGTCATTTCGCGCATGATTTTTACATTTCCCTACTAGCGTTATCGAGCGTTTTAGGCGTTTCTAGAGCGTTTTTGAACGTCTTCGAACGTTTTCGAGCGTTAGTGACCGTTATCGAGCGCTTTTGGAGCGTTTTCGAGCGTTTCTCGATCATTTTCAGAGCGGTTTCGTGCGTTTTAAGGCCGTTTTTGAGTGTTACCGAGCGTTTTTCAACCGTTTTCGAGCGTTTTTAGTGTTTTGGAGCGTTACCGAGCGTTTTCCGAGCGTTTTCGAGAGTTATCGAGCATTTTTCAACCGTTTTCAAGTGTTTTTAGAGTGTTTTCAATCGCTATCGAGCGTTGTCGAGCGTTATCGATCGTTTTCGCCCATTTTTCAAGTGTTTTCGAGTCTTATCGAAGGCCGCACAATGCTGTTGCGTGTTGTTAAGTGCAGTAGAGTGCCGGAGAGTGCCGGAGAGACGACGAAGAGTGCTGGAGAGTGCCGGAGAGTGCCGCAGAGTGCCTGAGAGTGCCGGAGAGTTGCCGCAGAGTGCCGGAGAGTGGCGGAGAGTTACCAGAGAGTCCCGGAAAGTTGCCGCAGAATGCCGAAGAGTGTCGGAGAGTGCCGGAGAGGGCCGGAGAGTTGCCGCAGAGTGCCGGAGAGTTGCCGCAGAGTGCCGGAGAGTGCCGGAGAGTTGCCGCAGAGTGTCGTAGAGTGCCGGAGAGTGCCGGAAAGTGCCGCAGAGTGCCGGAGAGTTGCCGCAGAGTGCCGGAGAGTGCCGGAGAGTTGCCAGAGAGTGCCAGAGAGTGCCAGAGAGTGCCAGAGAGTTGCCGCAGAGTGAATGAAGAGTGCCAGAGAGGCGACGAAGAGTGCTGGAGAGTGCTGGAGAGTGCCGGAGAGTGCCGGAGAGTGNCTCTGCGGCATTCTTCGGCACTCTGCGGCATTCTTCGGCACTCTCCGACAATGTGCGGCGACTCTCCGGCACTCCCCGGCACTCTGCGGCACTCCCCGGCACTCTGTGGCACTCTGCGGCACTCTCCGGCACTCTGCGGCAACTCTCTGACACTCTCCGGCACTCTGCGGTACTATCAAGCACTCTCCGGCACTCTGCGACAACTCTCCGTTAGTCTCCGGCGCTCTCCGGTCCTCTGCGGCAACTCTCCGTCACTCTCCGGCACTCTACTGCTCTTAACAACACGCAACCGCACTGTACGGTCTTCGATAAGGCTCAAAAACACTGAAAAACGCGCGAATACGATTGATAACGCTCGACAACGCTCGAAAATGCTTTGAAAATGACCGAGAAACGCTCGAAAAGCGGTCGATAACGCTCAAAACCGCTTGACAAACACTCGATAACGCTCGAAAACGCTCAATAACGCTCGAAAATGCTTGAAACCGCTCGAAAAACCGCTCGATAATGCTCGAAAACACTCGAAAACGCTCGATAACGCTAGTAGGGAAATGTAAAAAAAATCACATGCGAAATGACTCGGCTTATATCCGGGGTTAGGTAAGCCTCGGGAGGATTTTCGCAGTATTCGACTCTCACGCATACTCGTCGAGTGTAGCGCCGAACGCACACATACTCAACGTCTCGACCCGTAGCTTGGCGCTTGGCTGGTTGGCACGCGCTAAGATTTCTAGGAGCGATCGCACTCACGCAGATTCGCTGCATGAGGGTTCCGTACGCGACACCGACACGTGCCCCAAAGCTCCGCATCACGTCGACTTCGATGCAACAATGTACTTAATAGTAGTAGATAAGTAGATGAAGTCAAATGGAGTGTCACGAGAGTGTTCTTCCCGTACCATCAAAAGCGAGCAGTGTCGGTAAGCGTAGGTAAGCCACCACCGTCAACTGCCGCATGGTATTACCATCATGAGTACGTGAGCCGCCAACGGCGACTGGTAGATGGTACCGCCATCGCGAGTGCGCGAGCTCCTATCAGAAATTCGTTGCGCCGCCCTTGGGGGCAAAAAACGGTGAAAGCTAACGTACGATACCAGAGGGCAGCACAGGATGCGATTACTCGATCCTGCCCGTGAGCAATCTCCCAACTCATCTCTGGTACTAATTGCACTTGGAACTTATTATCAGAACCATGTCTGCACGAGAAATTACAATCTGTAATAAAAACACATGGAATAATAATTGTTAATGTTCGTTAAAAATATATGTTTTTATCTTGTATGTAGAATGGAATCGATGAAATTACTAACTTCTTGGAAGTATGGAAATAATGAGATGACTCGTTATTAAGAAAATTAAGCATTTTTTTAGTTTATAAATTGGATGGAGGGAGATAGTAAATTATTAATAAAGAGAGATTGACTCGACACGTGTAGGCCTTTATAAGCAGGACTCTTCGTTGGAATCGTTTACATACATATACATATATATTTATAAATATCATAAATTTTATAATAGCTGTGTCGCTATGTAATGGTCATAACATGTATTAATCATTAACGTGTACTTCATTAAACGATCAATCGAATAACAGGCAAACGTTCGTTGACCAAACGTGATCCCCTAAAACAGTCATATAGAGTATCGACAGTACGACTTCTGCAAAAGTCCATCTACAATTCTAGAGGACCTAGAATTACGCGTGCATATTTTATACCTTGCCAATATAAACTATCCACCACTATGGGAGAATATTCATAATTCACGTTTGGATGTTTAACAAGTTATAAGAATCTGACAACTCTACGTGTGTTTAGCACCGATACCATCGCTTCAATCTAACCTAAAAATGTTAAGTACAAGTCTGCATAGCGTGAATAGCGGTTAGATCAGTCAATATATGGATACAAGTGACAAATCTTTCATACCTTTCTTCAAGCAACTTTTAACCCTGACAAAATTACGTGGAAGAGTACAGTGAATTTCTCATTTTCTACGATAGGATCAATGAAACGACACCTGCGACTCGATCAATTGCATTTCCCAGAAACGAGAGACTTCTACTTGATATATTCTAACACGACTACTAACCTAATAAAACTTGATCGAATCTTGGCCTTATGTGCAGACATATACATATTCGCTGCCCACAGCGAATTGAAAACATTTTCTGAGTTACACGTTATATCTACGAGCAAGAGGGCTGGCTTATGTGTAGTCTGTAAATAGTATTTACGTGCAAGAGGTAAAACATTATAAACAAAGAAATGTACATAGGTATTATCGGCTTAATGGGATGCGAAAATGCTATCGAAGAGGTCTTGTTTATGAAACTTTTCACTGAACTGAGTGCAGCGAATAGTTTCAAGCTTTACAATGTGAATATGGATGTTATGAGGTAGGTCCTGACACCCATAAAATTTCATGTTTCAGAAAAAATGTTGAAAATGTCTATAAACAAATTTAAAAAGAATTGAAAATTCATGGATGTCAGATAATTCTTCATAGCCTCCATATTCACATTGCAAAGTTTTAAACGATTCGGTACATCCAGTTCATAGAAAAATTGCATGAACCAGACTTCTTTGACGCCACATTCTCTCCATCACTTTAAGCTATGCTTCATCTACAGCGCTTCATTTCTACACCCTATCATGCAATTCCAGCGTCAGATGGGGCAAACTGGTGGAACAATAAATATGGTAGAAGTATTGTTTGCGAAACTAAGTTACCACCTTATGATGAATTTATGGGACTCCATCGGTAGCACCAAGCGAAAAAGACTTCACCGTATGACTACACATCGCACAGGCACTTGACGTCTAATCGAGCCTTTGCTCTTTTTTTGCTTTAATACAGATATTCAAATTGCACTCAACACTAGATACGCTTTGGTGAGTTGGTCTTCAACTTTAGTTGCCTTTCCTTACATCGGGCTAGTCGTTCTACTCGAATACACGACCAATTTTATCTAATGAATTGACATGAAGTGTTCGCTTAAGCTAATTTGAACGTCGACGCTGTTGGCGGTATGTACAGTTGACGTTACCGATGAAGTCGAACACACCGATGCGATCGGTGCGTAACTTAGCGCGTTAAAGTTGAAGAGGTTAATTCGGAAATGTCATCTCCGCCAGGATGTCATTCTTAGACATGCAGTTTGCTTAAATCGGTCAAAAACGACTTCGGTGTAATTATGTGTGATGAACCTGGAAAAATATACGTAAACCATTACCATCCTGCTGGCCGTTTCGAAAAATTCATAACGAATTTGAAGTTACTTACCAACGATAACCTCCCAGTTTTTCAGAGCGTTCGTCACTTCGTATGCACATCGCACTTCCGAAAAACATACTCCACCAACAATGAAGACTATTAACCGAGGGACGTTTTTTATGGTTTGCTGACCCTTGTCCTTATGCCAGTGACCATACCGTACACTAAAAAGAGTTAAATTAATTACTGAATCAGTTAATCAGTTTAGTAAAATATGTATTGTTATAAGGGTTTTTATTAGTAAACAAACATTATTATTATTCAGAATATGTAGGATAGCTCATTTCATGTATACTAATTATTACCTTGTTGGTGCGTGATACCCTGTACTTGCTGAACGACTAGCCAAATATGGGAAGTGTTTCGAATCTAATTTATCCTCGATGGAGTCTTCCATGATATCCTTCACCACAGGAGTCCAACGGCTCATTTGATAAGTCTGTTCTGTAATCCTTTCTTTACGTGTCACGGTATACAATTTCTTGCGGTTCCCCTGATTGATTGATAATACTTATTACATACATGAACCTGGTATTTTTATAATTATAGATTTCAACCTGAAGGTGATATTTAAAACTTACATCGACCACGACATTTATGCCAAGGTTTGCCATGTTGATAATGGTTTGCTTGTCATCAGCTGAAATCTGAGCATGATGCACCAGACGATTTAGATTTTCGTCCGTAATACCATTCTTGCTGATCACATACAATGCAATGATACGCAATTTATCCAGATTGTTGACAGTTTGGTCCAACAGAATCGGCGTAATATTTCGCATGTGATCCTTGATGCGTTCACCTTCAGCGTCAGTACCCATGGCCAAATCCTAAAATACGTGATTATACACAACAACAAATTTTATTTACAACATCGACTTGTATGAACTGATCGATTCATACTTGTTCAACTTTGCACAGCTTGTCGACATTCCCCTGATAACGTTTCATGCAATCCTCTGCCAAATGCAAGTGAGTAGCGTATTTGCTCAACTCCTTCTGGTACTGCGGCATCTTTTTGATCATCTGCGAAAGATCCCTCATGCTTTGTTTATCGCTCTGAGGCATCCTCTTTGATTCGGTGAACTTCTTCAGATTTTTTGTCACATTTCTGGAAGAATTAAATATTTAGATGCTATTTTACCGCTAGTTGCATAAACTAAATCTCATCAAAAGTTAATTTATTTCCATATCTTACTGAGAAACAACAGCAATGTGTTGATGTCTGAGTTCAACCCAGAGTTCATCGTTTTCGTCGAGGAGGACTTCTTTCTCGGCTTGTCCCGCTGATGCTTCATACCTTAAGGAGTCAAAGGCAATATTAACTATAATTGTTTACATACGAAATGAATTTACATCACAAGTTTAAGGAAATGAGAAAGTGGCATCCGAGGGGTTAATCGTTCATGAATCTTTTCACTGAACTGGGTGCATCAAGTAGTTTTAAACATTACAAAATGAATATGGATACTAAAAGCAATGTCCTGACACTTATCAAATTTCAATTTTTTAAAATTTATTTATTGACATTTTCAATAGTTATTGTGAAACATAAAATTGCATGGGTGTTAGGACCTTTCTTATACCCTCTACATTCATATTGTAAAGTTTGAGACTATTCGATGCACCCAGTTCGGAGAAAAGTTGTATAAACTACACCTCTTTGACGCTACTTTCGCATCGCCTTAATGTTAGCAGTTACCTGTAGACGTCATTCTCGATTTCAAGGAGATCGTAAGCCATGGCTTGTAAAGTTAACTCGTGCAAAAGCGGTGAGACACAGTCAAATCCACGATCGAGAATTAAGAGCTGGGAACGAGCTTTTTCAGGACCTTCGCCCATTGTTGGTTCATCAGCTTTGTAAGCATCCAGCTTTTGTTGGACCATCTGTGCCAGCTCGACGTTACGGTCAAAGTCACTGTAACAAAAAGTATTATTAATAATTGTAGAAAATATTTATATTTCACTTTTTATAAGAATAAAATACCTTCGATATCTGACCGATGGATATTCTCCAAGAGTAGCACAAAGAGTTGCTATTTGTTCTGCAATTCGCTCCATGTTGGCATTCCTCAGGTTGATGAACGAGGGGTTGTAAAAACAGGCGAACGTTTCCCGCGAATCAAGGGAGAAGACCTGCGTGACAATAACAATTTTCATTTCACTTAAGGTTATGATGATCGTACTGAATTCTAGTAACATTGACAAACATAAGCTGTTCAAAGCGTGAACAGACATTCAAGCGAAAAAAATAGGAAATAGAAAGCATAAGCAACTAGAAGCAGAAACTGTGTCTATCGATAAAAGTACGATTTTATCTTATATAGATTTTTACAAACAGTTTTCTGTTAAATCAAAAAACTGACCTAATTTCGTGCAGTACATTAGTTGATACTGATAAAATTCAGTGTAAATTTACATACATTTTTGCACACCTCATACCTAAAGTTTCACATAAAAAAACGTAAAATGGAAAGCTTAGAAACTAAAAAATGTGTAAATATGGGTAAAATTATATATTTACCATATTCACGCATGTAATTTTGCTGCAATTAATGGTAGCATCGAAATGACCAACACTGGAGTACGTACATTTACATGGACATTTTTACAGGGTAAAAGGATAATAGAGCATGCTAGATTTGATATAATGAAATAAACAGGACATTGAAATTAATGGAAATCCGAGCGCGATACAGTGGACGCAGAAAACTGAAGAAACCCAACACTACCGTCTAATGACAAACCATTTATGAATTAGACTCCCTCTAGTCATTCAGTTACTTTCCAGCGTTAAAATGCATGGAATGGCTACAAGGGTACAGAAAAATGTCAGATGAAGCATTATCTAAGCAAGCCCTGTTGATTCTCAATATTTTCACCTGCGACTCGTAGGGCAGGAATGCGATGTTGATCTCTTTCAGGGTTTTGATCTTTTTAGCTGCGAGGGACTTGCAGAGTTCGTTGAAGAGTTCCTCCGGACAGACTGGTCATGTGCAAGCATGAATGCATACTGGATGTTAGTCCGAGTTGTGCCAAGACATTGTTAGATAGTACAGGTTGAAATGAACCGTTGTGATAATGTTGCGGAAAAAATGCGGGCGAAAAAAGTTTGCTGTGCCCATCACCGTTCTCAAAACTGACGAACGCAACACACACGTTCAAGCTTTTGCTTTACCTGCTCCTCGTACGGTATAAAAGCGACGTTGATCTCTTTCAGTGTCTTAATGCGTTTAGCTACTCGCGCATTGCACAATTGTTCGATCAGCTCATCGGGACACGCTGTAAAGAAATTAACTCAAAATTCAAACGTAAACGAAAATGCCATAATGGCCACGACTCTTCTCGACCACATATTGCCCTTTAAAGTGTTATGAAAGGGTCATTCTATTACATATATAACGTACAAATATTTATATAACTTTTCTCGGAACTGAATGCATCGAATGATTTAAGACATCAGTGTGTGATCAAATTAAGGGAAATTTAATTGAATTCGAGCTGCACGTGAGCCAGATTAAGGCGATTTGAAAGTGAGCTCTAAGAAGTCAATTGTTCGTGAAACATTTCTCCGAATTGGGTGTACCGAATCGTTTCGAACTTTAGAATGTGAATATGGAGGCTATAAGGAAAGTCCTGATAACCATGAAATTTTTATTTCTTTAAAATTTGTTTACGGACATTTAAAAAATTGTTTAAATGAAATAAAGTTTCATAGGTGTCAGGACCTTTCTTAAAGCTTCCATATTCACGTTGTGAAGTTTGAAACGATTCGGTACACCCAGTTCGTAGAAAAATGTCACGAAACTTCTTCAACGCCACTTTCATATCACCTTAATGTCATTATTCTTCGAAATTTTTAGTAGGGTTTTCTGTAACATTTTCGGAGGTGATCTCGAATGTACCTTCGGTGAAGTACACGTGCGCGTTTTTGTAGATGGTCCTCGTGGGATTGCTGAAATCGTCGATGAGTTTCTGAACGGAGCCATTGCAAGGTGTGATAAGGTAGACTGCTTCCATGGTCGGAAGAGGCTCTCGCTTTTTGCCAATGTCTTCTACCAAAGTGATCCCTTGGGCGCTGAGGTCGTGCATTTTGCAGCAAGCGGAAACCATCCTCATGGCCAGCTGATCCACCACCAGGATTCGCCATTCCACTCCTCCCGTTGTTTTCTTCTTCTGCTTGATCACCTCATTCATAATCTCTGGAAAAATTAATAATATACAGCATGAAGTGATAAAAAATTATAAGAAATAATTAAATCAACAAATTTCCGCCTCTTGGAATACCTTTTCGGCGACTTATCAATAAAATCGAACATGGAATTAATAGTTCTAATTCTGTAGAAATGTTTCATCGTCTCTTTGACGAGCAGATTGTGGTCAAGTCGCGATACAGTTTTTAAGTTTTAGATCGTATATGAAAATTATTTCTCAAAATATTTGATTTCTACGTTTAGCGGGGATATCCCGAGTAAGGAGCAGATTAATGTGCTACGGTAAATCACGCTAATGAAAACGACCTGTACCTTCCTGAATTTTTTTTTTTAACGTTGTTAATAGACAACGTCCTTAAATATGAAAACTATTTCTGAAAACGTGTGAGTCTTATTTGCAAAAACGACGCCGATTGATACGCTACAGAAAATCAGGGCAATGATTACTGGTTAAATTCGACGATTTCGATCATCATATTGATCGTCTTCACTGATTCGTTTTATTATTTCCTACACTTGCTTGAAAAAATGGATATTTTCACCCCATCAATTGGTAATAGGCTCTCGTAAGTATTAAAAAAAATGGGTATCTCATCCTGTCAATAGATATAAAGCCCTCTTAAATCAGAAAATATTTCCGAAAACGTGCGATTTTTGTATTTGCAAAATCGGCGTCGATTGATGCACTTTAGAAAATCAGGCTAATGGTCATTGGCGAAGTTTCGACGCTTTCCGTCGTCGTATTGATCGTCCTTACTAACTCGTGACGTCAGCCAGGCCCGTGCCTTGGAGAAGGCAGCCCTGCGCACTCGTCCTTGCGCAGAAGCGTAGGTGGACGGAAGCTACGGGAAATCTTGACCATCCGCACGTTAATTCATGAAATTCAAATCGCACCTCTACGCGCCATATTACATGCGATCAAGGCATGAGTCGTTCTAAAATCCACAGCGTCCAATCTGCACATTTTAAATCCAGGAAGCCTCGACAACTCGCCGATATGCGCTAATCAGCCTAATAAAAATTATAGAAACTTCGAGAAATTCTTTGCCGCATAAAAACCTAAAAATGTCGAAAACCAAAGCAGTATATTGTACATTTTTGGATGCATCTTTCAAACGGAACTGAAACATCTAAACGGAATATGAGGAAAATATAAGAAATCTACTTAAAATGCGACCATTTTAAGTGCAATTTTAAACAAAACATGATAAATATAAAAATCTACTTAAAATATGAACATTTTAAGTAAATCTTTTATATTTCTCACATTCTGTTTAAGTAAAAGTACTTCATTTTCCGTCCCCATAAGAACGATTATTTTTCATCTACCGAATAAAATCCGCAAGCGAGTCAACATCCCAGGAATGAAGGTAATAAATATGGAAATTCCGATACAAGACCCTAGTGAAATATTCACCTTCCTAAGAGCATAAAAACAAGACATACACGCAGCCACAAAAATGTCATTACTCCGTTAAATAGAAAGCTTGACATTTCCAAGCTCGTTGACATTTTGGCGGACTGGGAAGTGAGTGACGTCGTTACATTTGATAAAATAATAAGGCCACCTCATGAGCCTCGAAAATTCTCCTCAAATTTCTTCGAAACAGCGTTAAGTAAATCCACGACAATCGATACTAGATATACGTGGGAAAACGGTAATTATCAGTAAGATAGTCAGGCCGAAAGTGTCCAAAAGGACAGCCAGGCAACGTCAAACCTTAAACACGATGCCTTAAACTTAACCAGGGAACAAATTGCACGCGTAGATGCGTCATTCGGCGAAAAAATAAAAGTCTGACACCTCGTTTCATGTTTATGAAAATTCAAGCGCGGTCTGACGGCCAGACGTGCAGTCGCTCCGCGTGCGATGAAATCATCGAGGCATGCAACGCCCATTGGTTTTGCTCAACTTTTCCTCATTAAACGCATGTCAGAGCCGCCATGACACGCGCCACGTATTCCACGGCAATTTCAGATGTCACTTGACAATAGAGTCGACGCAAATGCGGTCGTAAACCCCCCAAAATTAAGTATTTCTCCGGTACTCACTCTGGCCGACCTGACCCTTGAGCGCCATTTTGACAGTACTGAGTGTGCCGAACAGTGTTGCCAACTCCAAGCCCGTGAACTCTAGTACAGTCGGGCTAAAATTATAAGAAGTTTGTTCGTTTTGCCTACACTTTCTACACTTTTACGAAAAGTGTACACTTTAATGTTCGTTTTGACGGAAGTGACGCAGATGCCGCTTTTCGTTTTGCGAGTGCATCTACCCCGAGTGTACATTTTCTCTACACTTTCTACCCTCGATCCCGAGCGAGTGCAAGAAGGGTAACCCGCGAATTTGGCGGCAAATTTCAAAATTGAAAAGACCAACAAACAGGAAAATACATAATTTATGCTAATATCTCAACGTAATATAAACAAAAGTAATTATTAATGCATCTTCTTCATGCATAGAACGATTTAGTGTTTTAGTTTTGGACATAATGTTTGAAACAATTTACAATAATTATGTATTACTACGAAACCGCGGTTAGAATGAACTAAACTATAATTTTTCACTGTTGTAGTTAAATTGTTTTTCATTCTACTGCAATATTATTCTGACCCTTATTGATCCTCAATACCTGAAATTCGTGAAAGGAATTTTCATCTTCTACAATTACAAGGTAATTGAACGGAATGCAAGATTTGAAGAAAACGAAGACAGCTCGAGAAGGAAGGCTGGAAGAAGCATTACATTTTCGTATTCATCATCGTCCGATACAGATAACCTCAAAATCGTGTACCTCTCTACTAAATCGGTCATCTTGGACCTTCGTGAGGTTTCTGGCGTTCGGGACTACACTTTTCTTGAAAGGTGCAGAAGTGTAGATACACTTTCGTCGACGTCCCGAACGCCAGAAAGCTCAAGAAAGTACAAGATGGCCGTTTTAGCGGAATATTATGCGATTTTGGAGCTATTCGAATCCAATGATGATGAAAATGAAGATGTAATGCTTCCTCCATTACATCTTCTAGTATGATGATAGTGATAATATAACATGCAGTAATACATAATAATTGTAAATAAAGAAACTGCAAGTCAATACATCATTTGCAACAAATAATGATTGTACAATATTTCAAAGATTACGTAGAAAATNAATCAATACGTAATTTGTAATAAATAATGATTGTACAATTTTTCAAAGATTACGTACAAAATTAAAACGCTAAATCGTTCTATATACAAAGAAAATGTATTAATCGTTATTTTTATTTATATTACGTTGAGATCTTGGGACAAACATTGTATTTTCCTGTTTTTTGGTCTTTTCAATTTTGAAATTTGCCGCCGAATTCACGGCCTACACTTTTATAACATTTTACACTCGCTCGGGATCGAGTGTAAAAAATGTAGAGAAAGTGTACACTCGGTATAGATGCCTTTGCAAAACGACCAGCGACATCTGCGTCACTTCCGTTAAAACGAACGCCAAAGTGTACTTTTCGTAACAGTGTAGAAAATGTAGGCAAAACGAACAAACCTATAGTATAACCCGGTCTGGTTAAGGAAATTATAGTACAACTTAAAAGGTTGGAATATTTTCATAAAACGCTTGCTCGTACTAAAAAAAAAGGAAACCGAAAAGGAGGGAAGGGAATATAATTTAATGCAGCATCGTTGTAATAAGTCACGTCACGTCAAGACCGAGAACTAATGGGAACAAACTGTTATTTCTGATGATCAATATGAATAGTTTTAATTGGTCCGCTGTTCACGCGTAGCAATCGCAAATTGCCCACGCAAATTGTTACTTTCGTGGAACATGATAAGATTTCTTCTGAAATAATAGTATCATTCGCGTACTATTACTGTTCGAAAAGTGGATAGTACATACACTGGAGAAAATAATAATACAAACATTATTATTATAGTACGGTTGGCAATACTGACGCCGTCCTGCACCAGATGGCGCGCGCAGCGGGCCAGATGATTTGCAGAGATAATTCTCGGATCATCTATTCGCATCTGCACTCAACGGCCGATACGCGCGGTGACTTTACTCAAAAAGGGTGACCCAGGGTTGAATAAGTATAATACGTTATGTAGTATACATAGTTTTCTACGCGAGCGCGAAGTATACTACGCCCTTCTGTTTCTAAATAGAAAATAATCTATATAAATAAAATATAAATAATAAATATCTTGGTGGGCTATTCTTGGTTGTTATCTCGAAGTTGAAGAAAATTTATTTATATTTTTAGAAGAATGTCAGTAGCATTTTGTTATTTGAGCCTCAAGGTGTTATGAAAGTGTCATATATGTACTAAAAGGTCAAAGTATGTATAAAACTGTTCTCCAAACAGGGTGCACCGAATAACTTAAAACATTAAAACGTGATTTAGATAAAAAAAATGATTTACCCCGAACAAAAACCAAAACAAGCTCTTTTCAAAAAGTGAAATTTCGTGAATTTCAAACCCTTCATTAGGACCTCCATAATCACGTGTTAAAGTTTCAAATAATTCTGTGCCCCAGTTTGACGAAAATTTTCCTAAACATTTTGACTTTTTGGTGCATATATATGACACTTTTATAACATCTTAAGAACATTCCCGAAGCCACGGGTTTAAAAAGGCTCGAAGACCCTCATGCACCGGGTGGCCGAAAGGGAGAACAGTGGCCAGAATTTGAAAGGTCTCGGCGAGGGGCGAGGGTTTAAAAGGGCCGGCGCGTCAGCTGGCGTATCAGGTGCACCGCATGAACCTGCCTTATCGACAGGTCGACCGCGTCTGGCGGTACGCGGGCGGTAGCCACCTGAGCGCTGCGCGCTGTGCGCGCTCTGGCGGCGAGCGGGCGCGGCGCGCGCCACGGCCCCGCGAGGTCAGTTCGAATCCTGAGCCCGGTGCGGGTGGTCGTGTCGCTAGTCGCGTGGCAGTGGGCGCGCACGCACGCACGTCGCCGCCGTCGTCCCTGGTGCGCCGTCCGGGATTCGAGACTGGCGGCGACTTCTCTCGCGGGAGACCCTCGAAGTCCTCCGTCTTTTCGGTGACTGAGGTCTTTCCGCCTCCGCGAGTGCGCCGAAAACGCGTCGCGCGTGCTCATCTCCCTGTCTCGACTCGCTCGCGAGCGCCGAGACGGCTCGACTGCGGTGTGCACGGTTCCGTGAACTTTCCCCTCTATGTGACACCGGTGCACTCCCTCGACCGGCTGCCTCGGATTTCGGATTTGGCAACGTCGTCTTGCTTCGCGAAGACAATGAAGCTGGAGTACCCTTGTCGCGTGGAGGGCTGGCTCAACGTCTGCGGTGAGTAGAACCTTCGTTCGCCCTTTACGCTGCTGAATATTTACCCCGGTTAGGAGACCGAGTGCGCTCTCACCGACTCGCGAGTCCCGTGTTCATTCTTCTACGTGAAAGCCGTTTGATGAATTTCGGGGAATCGTTACCTTGCCGGAAAATGGAAAATGGAAGCCGGTTTAAAGAACGTGATACTAATCATGATCAAAATTCGCTTCTAGCTGTGTTTTGATTATGTAATATGAATAGGCACGGAATTTGGATAAAATGGTCGGGTGTTGGGAAATTCGTGGAAAATTTTTAAATCGTACAATTTGAGATAAATTGATTAATTTGCGATACATCGTACAGTTTGAACAGTGAAATGAAACACTAGGAGCTATTTAAAGGAACTTGATTATAATCATGTGTTATTGTGATCTAAATTTGTTTCTAGCTGTATATTTTTATGTAACATGAATGGACGTGGAATTTGAATTATAAGGTCGGGTGTTGGGAAACTCGTTGGAAATTTGAAAGCAGCACAGTGCACGATAAATCGTACAATTTGAGTGGTGAAATGAAACTAGGAGCTATTTAAAACGCATGTATAATCATGTGTGATTGTGATCAAAATTCGTTTCTAGCTGTATATTTTTATGTAACATGAATAGACGTGGAATTTGAATTATAAGGTCGGGTGTTGGGAAATTCTTTGGAAATTTTTAAATCGCGTTATTTACGGTAAATTGTACAATTTGTGATAAATCGCAATTTGCAGCTCAATGCAATTGTTTCAAATTCTAAAATATGATATANATTATTATGAAAACACATGCAGCTAATATTATACAAATATTATGAAGCTAATATTCTAAAGTAAACGTTCTGCAAATATTTCACATGTCTGCTACATATTTACAAAATGCACGATATTCCTTAAATATATAGAAAATGTACGAGAAATATTTTGTGCTACCAGGGAATTATGGATTTTAGATTATAATGGGTTTACATCACGGCGTAATGCAATCGTTCCATGTTCGATTCCATATAACCCATATATAAATATCAAATAAATATCATTATATAAATCTACGTTTGACATAACGGAATCTGATTTTAGTAGCGCGGTCGTTATCGATTAAGCCCTGCCGCATTCTGCCATGAAAAAGGAAAGAGAATAAGGCAATAAATAGAAGAGAGATTTTCCAATAGCGGGAAATTTCAATTTAAGCTACGAATATACGCAATCGTGCCCATCGTTGTACGTGTATATGGAACAATATTGTTTTAGCTCTACTTGTACACAGTTTGCACATTTTGCCGACCGGGTATATGATAAGCTCGAAAATCTACAAATTTCATTCGGATTTCAGGTTACCCGGTTTCAAGAACGTTGCATAAGGAACGGGAAACTTTCCTTTATCACGCACAAGTCTGGACTTCTTTATTTTCATGTAGAGCAAAGTTTGTTGACACAAATGTTGGGTTTACAAGGGCTCCCCGTTATCGAGGGGACCCGGAAGTTGTTCATTCTCTTTTCTCTGGGATAGAGGGTATTTTTCTCTAATAAATAAACAGAAGTTATCTCTCGCTCTAGATCCTATGTGTGAAAGGAAGGAAATCCGGCAAGCGTTTCACCTGGTCGTCGTTTACGTAGGACCCGGAAAAATCCAATTTTACACGAATTCCTCGACTCGAGACTATACCTTTTCCCCCGACGTCAGACCGACAGGTTGCATTCGAGGTTCCGACGTGAGAAAAATGGAAAACGATTATCGCCTTGGCTGGACGAGCTCGTCGACTGGAAAAGGAGATCCAAATTGGGTGTTACTTGGGCAGTCTTCTTAAAAGAAATTTTAATCAAGTCCCTTGATATATAAAATCACGATTTGATCTC